AAGAAAAAAAATGGAAAACTCAAATGGGATTCAGCGATGAAGATGCTCTAAACATTAACAAAGAAAAACAAATTCCTTTTTTTAACGTCAAGGATCTACTATACAAATCACAAACGTACACATGTAAAATTAATAATTAAAAAGACATATTTAAAAAAAAAAAATATATATATATATATATATATAAGACATCAACTTATAAATTGAAATTTAATAAAAACTAAGCTATAGAGCTAAAAGCTGAAAATTTGGTTTTATGTTCTGATTGCTAGTTGGTCGACATGCTCGATCAGTGAAAGCAAAAAAAAGAATAATTTCATGGAAGACAAAAACCATGTGCAAAAGAAACATTTCACAAAGTTAATTATTTTCTATTTGTGAGTAAAGGGACAACATCTCCTCAAAAGCAGAGAAAAGAATTTAACTTTTATTGTCGTCTCAAGTTAAGGATCCAACAATTAGAAGTTGAAAGAGATTTCATGACTCAGAACTTATATATAAATTGTTGTGTAGATTTTTAGCTTTGTATACCAAATCATTCACAAAATCCAACTTTTCTTCTCGACAAAAAAAAAAACAATATATTGAAAGAGAAACTGAAAAAATCCATGGATGTGTCTGGTGAATTTCATCGAATAGAAAAAGATGGTAAACTATTTTTTGAATATCACCATTCAAAATACCATCCCATACCTCAAATTCAAAGCTCATCCTCCTCGAATAAAACAATCATCAACAACAACCACACATCTCAATCTCTTTTCCTATGTCCAATCGCACGAGTCCGTGTTGCACATAAAGAAGCACCTCATCTTTCCACATTTTATCCGATCATTTCTTCCCCGGAGTATCTCTCCTCTACCAGAGATGATGATGTTAACCATTTAGTACTCCCTTTATTTTGGTGCAACAATAAAGACTTTGAAATAGATGGTTGGTGTGGCATATGCGGAGGTTTAACTTCTGGAACCGTTTATTATCTTTGTGTCTCGTGTGATAAAAAGTATCACAGAGAATGTGTTCAGTCTCCACTTAAAATAAAATCCCCTTATCACCCTCAACATTCTCTCCACCTTTCTTATTTTGTTCGCCCCGTCCAATGTTTATGTTGTGGAGGAACATCAAGTTATCTAATATATAATTGTGGCATTTGTCGAGTTTTCATGCATCCGGTTTGTGCGATGAAACCAATACCCTTTGTTATAGACCTACCAAAAAGGCATGACCATCCTCTCACCTTTTTCCCAAGACAAGATTCTTTAACTTGCAACGTTTGTGGCTTGCTGAGAAAATTGAATCCCACCTACATATGTGCCGAATGCAACTTTGTAGCTCACAAAGATTGTATGTATTTTCCAAGCATCATCAAAATATCACGTCACCGTCATCGTATCTCCCACACTTCTTCTCTCCGAACGGGGGAATGTCTCTGTGGAGTTTGTCGCATAAGTAGTGAGACCAGTTATGGTGCATATACTTGTGATAAATGTTGTGATTATTTTATTCACTCAATATGTGCTCTAGGGAAAGATGTGTGGGACGGGAAAGATCTCGAAGGTGTACCAGAAGAAGAAGAAGATATAACATCAGATGTTGTACCATTCATTATGATATCTGAAGGAGTGATACTTCATTTTCTTCATGAACATCATCTCTGCCTCCAAGTCAGCATGCTTTATGACGAAGACAAGTTTTGTCAAGCGTGTGTTCTACCTATATTTGAAGGTAATTTCTATTCTTGTGTTGAGTGTGATTTCATCCTTCACGAAACATGCGCAAGTTCTGGCCGTAAGCTACAACATGCGTTACATCCTCATCCACTTACGTTGAACCTTGTGAGTCCATATGAAGATAGTGACTACATTTGCAATGCTTGTTATCGTTTATGCAATGGATTTAATTATGGGTGTCATTTAAAAGGATGCAACTTCGATTTGGATATACGGTGTGCTTCAATATCTGAACCGGTTGTTTACCAAGGTCATGAACATCCCTTATATCTAGCTTTAAACCCAGAAGAAGAGCCTATATGCCATGTATGCAAAAAAAACTGTAAGAAGCAATTAAATTGCATCATCTGTGGTTTTATTATATGCATTAAATGCACCACCTTACCGTTCAAAGTAAGGTACAAGCATGACAAACACTTTCTGAGAGTTTTGTGCGCAAAAGAAGTATGTGAGAAAAGTTGGTGTGAGGTGTGCGAACATGATTTGAAAGATGCAAACACAAACATGGTCTATTGGTGCGACGAATGCTGCATCACAGTTCATGTTGAGTGTTTATTAGGTGATGACCCATATCTGAAGCATGGTTAAATGTATTATTTATATGACTACAAGCTCCAAATTCATTGCAAAAGCCAAATTTCTCGACCATTATGCAGCTGTGCAACCGTTGTCAAGACAAAACACTAACGAAAGACAACCTCATAGCATGTTCTGCGAGATGTTTTATTAACAGTCTTAACCTTCACTAAACATGTACAAAAATCCAGTGAATTTGCATTATATCTCTCTATGTAATTTATTTATCTCTCATAATTCATATTTGATTTTATTATTTGTTAAGTTAATTTAATGTAACTTTCTGTTTATATGTGTACTTTGTTGATTCTTTGCTAGTGAAAATCACATGTGAGATCCATCAAGTGAATAAAATTCTGTGAAAAATATGTTGTATGCTTCATTTGTCTATCTGAACGAACCACATGGATCATGACGTCTCCAAAGCTAGCCTACAAACTACGAACCACATGAACCCTAATTCAAATAGCTAAATCGATCTGAGTCAGCACCTTGATACACTCCATCTTCAGATTAATAACTTGCAAGAAGAAAATCAGCAAAACTGGTAATCTGATAATCATATCTTGACATGTGATGTTTCAGTAACATTAACATTTTAATTTCTTTGTGATCTGGATTATCAATTTATCGTAAAGAGTTATATTACCTTGTGTTGTTCGCAACACCTGATAAGGTTGGTTGTATAACTGGATGGAAGTCTAAGTGGAGTTGTCAATTTCAAATATATTATAAATGTCCACGCACAATTCAATTCTATATCATCAAAGGGAAATTCATGAGCAAATTTCTCATGAATCATTTTGTACAGAAACACAGTTTGTGCTCTTTTTATTTGTACATTCAGAAAATAACAAAACTGACATTTTCACATATAAACTAAACAATAGTAACAAGCTGCGGAAACTCCAACTACAACACCAATATTGAGATAGCATTAAATTTGGTACTTTGGTGTTCTACTTTAATTTTCACTTGAACACAAAATTTCACACAAAAAATGGTCTCAATTTTAAAAAATATTTTTTGTATTTTAATTATATAATGACTAATTAGTATTTACTATAGTTATATTTTATGTATACTTCTAAGAATAATATAGTTGATGTTTTTAATGTTTATTTAGATTTTATATATACATTTTTCTTTTAACGAACTCATTTCTTTTTAACTAATTTAAATATAATTTTGATCACACATATAAATTAATGAATTCTATTAATTTAACTGCATTATTGAATGAAACACATAAAATCTATTTTAATGTTTGGTGTAACTCTATTCATAAAATTTGATGAGATTGTGTAAATGTTGGAGTCCCATTAAAAATAAAACTACACCAAATTTAAAGTTTTGAAATTTCTTTGGAATTGGTCCATAAAAATCTGCATTTTCATTTTTCAGTTTCTCGACTTGAGATTTTTAAAATATATATATAAAAAATATATGTGGGAATTACTCAAAAAACTATTTGAATCCGCCTTGCGTTTTGTTTTACTTACCTGTCAAGATATATATTATATTCTTTCATGAATTTATATTGCAGGAGAAGAAGATTTCGAGAGAGGAATTCTCGAAGAAGTCGATGGTGATTGTTGGTGATGATAATCTACTAAGAACCACCATAACAGCTCTTCAACGCTTACAAACCTCTTCCATGAAAATGAAACTGATCAAAGGTGGCTGTAAGAGATGATGACGACAAAAGAGTTTCATCTTCTTTTGTAATGGTTGGGGCATTGGAAAATGTGTGTACTTCTTTTGTCTTGTCGTGAAACTTTATGGTTAGAGATTAGGACCAATGGCTGTCTTAAGAACGAACGTACTAATATTGCGTTAAGTCAAATTTACTCTTTGTGAAACTAATCTTCATTGTGCCTGATGTTTTCTCAACTTGAATCAAAGAGTCTTTAACAACTTTTGCTTTTGTGAAGTCCCTTGTCTGAGATGATCAGTTGTTTGAGTGCACTTGGTGTCTCTTAAGCCACGCTCTTGGCATGAGTAGAGTTACAACGTTGAAGCTTCACCACTACGACTGCGTTTTCAATAATCAATCTCCCTTTGCTTGTTTCACCCCAGCTTCTTCTTTAGCTGATTCTTCATCTACATTCAGAAGCAATCTACACATGAATCCAACGAAAACTTTGATATATTCTATAGAATAAAACTATGCAACACCCATATGCAACCTTCTAAACATTAACAAATAAAAAGAAAATCCATTTCCTTTTGACGTTAAGGATCTACAATACAAATCTTAAACGTACACATGTAAAACTAATAATTAAAAAGACATATGTATTTTAAAAAATATTCTTGTAAACCTAATAATTTAAAAAAAACATCAACTAAACTGAAATCTAATAAAAACTAAACTGTAGTCTCCATTTATATTCTGGTTGCTAGTTGATCGACATGCTCGATTAGTAATAGCAAAAAAAAAAATTCGAAGAATATTTTCATGAAGGAGGAAAACCATGTGCAAAAGAAAACATTCACCAAATTGATAATTTTCTATTTGTGAATAAAAGGACACTATCACAACAGCAACAACAAAGAAAAGAATAACTTCTTGTCATCTCAAGTTTAGAATCTATAACAATTAGAAGATTATAGAGATTTCATGATTCAAATTTCAAAACTTATATATTATAGAGGACTGTGAAGATTTTAGTTTTGTATACCAAACAATTCAAAAAAAAAAAAAAAACAAAAGTTTCTCCCAAAAATAAAATACAAACAATATATTGAAAGAGAAACTGAGAGTATCCATGGATGTCTCTGGTGAATTTCACCGAATAGAAAAATATGGTAAACTATTTTTTGAATATCACCATTCAAAATACCATCCCATACCCCAAATTCAAAGCTCCTCCTCCAATAAAAAATCATCAACAACCACACATCTCAATCTCTTTTCGTATGTCCAGTTACGCGATGCCGTGTTGCACTTCGAGACTCACCTGATAGGTCCACATTTTCTCCTATCTTTTCTTCCCCAGAGTATCTCTTCTCTACAAGAGATCATGATCTTTATCATTCACTACTCCCTTTATTTTGGTGCAACAATAAAGACTTTGAAATAGATGGTGGGTGTGACATATGCAAAGGTTTAAATTTTGGCACTGATTATTATCTTTGTGATTACTGTAATGGAAAGTATCACAAAGAATGTGTTCAGTCACCACTTAAAATAAAATCTCCATATCACTTTCAGCATTCTCTCCAACTCTACTTTTATTTTCCAAGTGCTCGCATCATCGAATGTTTAGTTTGTGGAAGAACAATAAGCCGTATACTATATTATTGTGCCATTTGTCGAGTTTTCATGCATTCAGTATGTGCCATGAAATCCATAGCCTTTGTTATAGACCTACCAAAAAGGCATGACCATCCTCTCACCTATTTTCCTAGACAAACTTCCTTAATTTGCAACGTTTGTGGCTTGTTGAGAAAACTTTATCCTACCTATGTATGTGTCACATGCAACTTTGTAGCTCATAACGATTGTATGTATTTTCCTAGTATCATCAAAATATCACGTCACCGCCATCGAATCGCTTACAAATCTTCACTCCGGTCCGGAGAATGGTTATGTGGAGTTTGTCGCCAAAATATTGAGATCCATTATGGTGCTTATAGTTGTGACAAGTGTTGCGATTATGTTGTTCATTCAATATGTGCTCTAGGGAAGGATGTGTGTGATAGAGAAGATTTCGAAGGTGTACCAGAAGAAGATGATATAGCACTAGGTGTTGAATCATTTTATGTGATATCTGAAGGAGTGATACTTCATTTTCTTCATGACCATCATCTCTACCTCAAGGTCAGTATACTTTATGATGAGAATAAGTTTTGTCAAGCTTGTGTTCTACCTATCTTTCAAGGTACTATTTATTCTTGTATCAACTGTGATTTTATTCTCCATGAAACATGCGCAAAATTTGGCCGCAAATTACAACATGCATTACATCCTCATCCACTTACACTGAGGCATGTGAATCCATATGAATATGTTGGCTTCACTTGCGATGCTTGTGATCGTTATTGTGGTGGGTTTATTTATGGGTGTCATTTAAAGGAATGTGACTTTGATCTGGATATACGATGTGCTTCAATATCTGAACCGGTTGATTACCAAGGTCATAAACATCCCTTGTACTTAGCCTTAAACCCAGAAGAAAAGCCCGTATGTCATGTATGCAAAAGAAAATGTGAGAAACAATTAAATTGCATCATCTGCAATTTTATTATATGCATTAAATGCACTTCCTTACCATATAAAGTAAGGTATAAGCATGATAAACATTTTCTCAGAGTTCTGTGGGAGGAAGAAATATGTGACAAAAGTTGGTGCGAGGTGTGTGAACATGATTTGAAAAATACAGACACAAATGTGATCTATTGGTGCGATGAATGTTGTATCACCGTTCATGTTGAATGTTTATTTGGTGATGAACCATATCTGAAGCATGGTCAATTTTTAAAAATAAATGGGATCAAACTCCAAACTCTTTGGAAAAGCAATACTTCACGACCATCGTGCGGTTACTGCAAAAATCGTTGTCAACACAGAATGTTTATGACAGACGATATCGTAGCATGTTCTATGCGATGTGCTCTTAGCAATAGTTAACTTTACGTTAAAAGATCTACAAAAATCCAAGGAGATGTATTATGTATTTGTAATCTATTTTTTTTATCTTGTTATTAATATATCATTTCTTTGTTTGTTAAGTTTCGAATATAATCTTAACTCTATGTTTTATATATGGACTTCGTTGGTTTCTTTGTAGGGAATATCACCCATTATCACTAGAGATCGTTATCTAATAATAGTGATTCAAATAATTGTTGTGATGAAACTAATATAATATGTTGTGGTCTGGCTTGGCTCTGTGATTAGGAGTTTTGCCCCCAAACCTTCTGATATTTATTTATTTTTAAAAAGTCATTAGTAGATTATAAAGTTAGTTAAACTAGCTCTTGGCAAACATTTTTTTTTTTTTTTTTTTTTTTGAAAAAATTTTAAATTTCATTCCAAAAAAAAAAACGTTTTTACAACTAGTGCAAACCATTACAAAAGACAGAAAAAGATAACCTAGTACAGCAAAACAAAAGCCATAAAAAGGGAATCAAAATCTTCAAACTTGAAATAAAAATAAACTCAAGAAGAACCCATAAAGCACTCCCCCTCAAGTATAGCCATGTGGAACAAGCCATACAAATTGGAAGGACCATACTATGATCCTCATTAAAACCTCAATCAGTAAAACCCAATTGGGACAAAACCAAATTGAGGAAAGAGTAATCATACTATGGTCAGGGGAGCACAAAGGGCAACAACACCACAAAAGANAAACCTCAATCAGTAAAACCCAATTGGGACAAAACCAAATTGAGGAAAGAGTAATCATACTATGGTCAGGGGAGCACAAAGGGCAACAACACCACAAAAGATAGTCCACTCCTGCTGCTCCAACCCCAAGCTAAGAAATCCACTTCGCAACAGACAAACAACCCGCAACAACTCCCAAAAACCAGCAATGGGAATACAAATTAGCCCCTACTAAACCACATCCCCATCGTCTCTTTATGCTTATGATTCTCTTTTCTTCTCAAAGAAGTAATACGATTCCTTACCAACTTATCAATCCTCACAATCAAACAGGACACAGGTTTAGGATTCTCACCTACTCTCCTCCTATTTCTTTCACTCCAAATGGCATAACACACTGCTTGAAAACAGTATCTCCACAGAAAAGTAAGAATTCTGTTACCTTGAAAACCCATAGCCACCGTATGGACAACATTAGGCCATTGATAAACGTTTCTTTGGTTCCCCAAATCACGAATAGTCCCATACCAAACATCTCTCGAATACTGACAGTCAAAAAAGATGTGATCTCTGGTTTCAATATCAGAGTTACATAACCAACAAGTAGCCACAGCTTGAGGATTCCACTTGAGAATTCTATCCCCAGTAGCTAATCTATTCTGAACAGCCAACCACACAAGAAAAGAAAACTTGGGAGTAGCTCCAGCGAACCAAATACCTTTATACCAAGAAACCTTAGGATATTTATCTCTTATGATATCCCAAGTGTGAGCAGTACGAAACCCTTCTCGATACTCCCCATTATTCTGCTTCCAGAGCCTAATATCTTTTCCTTGATTAAGCCCCTTGTTCCTAAGCAGAGTGATTTCTTGATCAATCAAAACCAGAGTAGGATCTCTACGTCTTCGCGATCTATAAATCTGAACAGCTCTTTCAACCGTAGAGTTTATGGGGATCCCCAGATCCATAGTGCCTCTATCACCCGCTTTATCCAGAAGAATACCCAAAGACGACCAGTTATCATACCAAAATGAAGTATCTGAGCCACTCTGAATCTCAACTCTTGAAAGATGTTTCGCCATATGTCTCATCCTTAATAGTTTTTTCCACATCCAAGACCCAAGATAACTCTTCTCATTTACATTCCAAAAGGATCCCTTCCTCACAAGATACTTCCATATCCATTTAACCCATAAAGAGCCTTTATCAGTAATAATACGCCAAACTAGTTTAAGACAAGCTACCTTATTAACCACAGAGAGATTCTTTAAACCAAGACCCCCTTCATCCTTTGGTTTGCACACATCTGCCCAAGCCACTTTGGCTTTATGAGTATTAAGAGACGGCCCTGACCAGAGGAAAGCAGAACAGATACTATTAATCTCTTTAATGCAGCTGCTAGGCAACCTGAAAGCAGACATCCAGAAATTAGTCAAACTGTAAATAACGGATCCAATTAACTGAAGCCGACCAGCGAAAGATAGATGTCTGGCAGTCCAAGTAGAGATTCTTGTCTTGATCCGCGAGATAAGAGGACTATAGTCTTGAGTAGTCATCTTCTTAGTTAAGAGAGGTAAACCAAGATATCTAACCGGCAGCTTTCCAGTATCAAACGGAAATTGGTCCAAAATCTCCTCACTATCCTCATCTCTAACACCTGCCAGGTATAAGGTAGACTTTTCCAGACTAATATTAAGTCCAGACATTTTTGCAAACTCCTGAAAAACATCCAAAATACCCTTAATAGAACCTTTCTTCCCATCAGAGAACACCAAAACATCATCTGCAAAACAGATGTGAGTCAGACTGAGATCTTTACAATAGGGATGATAACCAGTAATCTTGTCCTTGGCAGCTTTGTCAAGGAGCTTAGAGAGAACCTGCATACATATAACAAATAAGTAAGGTGAGAGAGAACAGCCTTGACGCAAGCCTCTTTTGCTGTTAAAATATCCAGCTAACTCCCCATTAATCTGAACAGAAAAGGAAGCCAACTCAATGCATTTTCTAATCCAAATGATGAACTTCTCCGGGAAATTAAGAGCTTCCAGCACAGTCAACAGAAAGGACCATTGGACCGAATCAAACGCTTTAGACACATCAATTTTTATAGCACACCGCTCTGAAACAGTATCTTTGTGATAACTCTTCACAAGCTCAGAAGCTAACAACACATTTTCCATCAAGCTGACTGGTTGAGAGAGATAAACAAAGGGAGAATCTGCTTCATGCGGTTAGCCAAAAGCTTAGAAATGACCTTATAAATCACATTGCAACACGAAATGGGTCTATAATCTTTCATACTAATGGCATCATTCTTCTTCGGAACAAGGGCAAGAATAGTGGAATTGATACCTTTCGGGAGAAAACCTTTATCAAAAAAAGATTGAACCGCAATGACAAAATCTCTCCCTGTGATGTCCCAAGTAGCTTTGAAAAACTCACTTGTAAACCCGTCAGGACCCGGAGATTTATCTGCAGCCATAG